ATAGATAAAAATAAGCCTCTAACATTGATGCATGACAAGAAGATGGCCAGGAAACAGTCATGTTAGAATAAGCATTAGTGTGAGCTAATCATATAACACCTAAAATGCAGAAAGGCATAACAAAGTAAGTGAATCTAAACACAAAAGAGAGATGGGAGTTTCTTTAATGTCTGCACACATGTGAGCACACTAAAAAACCTCAAGTCATAATTTCAGGGGGTGGATTTTTGTTGTTCACTTGGTGTATGTGCACACACGTGTGCATGATGTAGGTGTACATGTACATGAGCATATCCATCCCACCGTGTCATACACACTGGTGTCTGAAGGCAATATGTGGGAACTGGTTCCCTTTTTGTGGTGGGCCCCACAGACTGAAATCAAGTCATCAGCCTTGACAGCAAGTGCCTTTATCTGCTGACATTATCGGCAAGCCTTCCTTAAATACCCTTAGTCTAGAACATGGTTGTTAAATTTGCATCCCTGGAAGGGTCTTAACGTTTTCTTTATTTCTGGGTTTTATATTCAAGGCCATCATGTGTCTTTAGAGAAGAAAGAAATACATCTTGAAAGTTCAGAAGAGAATCCATCTTCACATCCTGTCCACGTTTGGTCTGGAATGCCAGGGTTACCAATGGACAACCAGAAATCAACAGCTGCATGTCCTTAACTGCTTTATTTATGTTTAACTTTTAAGAAAATTAGTTGACAATGCTATCTACTCTAACTTTTAAAACTGAAGTTATTCATGGGAAGTCAGTGTTCACATGTTGAATAGAAAAAGAACGTATTTTTTTTTCTGTGTTGAAGAGACTTTTAAGGAATTATAATATTACTTTTCTACTGGAAGTGTTGAATGCTAGTGAAAGTAATTTGTTAGATTTGATGAATTTCAAAGGAGCAACTGTTGCTAGAGTTTTCCTGCCTGGCCCACAGTCAGGACAAATCTCTCTCACCCACCAGTCCCACAGCCGCTCAAACCCGACCAAGTAAACACAGAGACTTATATTGGTTACAAACTGTATGGCCGTGGCAGGCTTCTTGCTAACTGTTCTTACAGCTTAAATTAATCCATTTCTATTAATCTATACCTTGCCACATGGCTCGTGGCTTACCGGCATCTTTACATGCTGTTTCTCATCATGGCGGCTGGTAGTGTCTCCCTCACCCAGCTTCCTGTTCTCTCAATTCTCCTGTTAGTCCCGCCTATACTTTCTGCCTGGCCACTGACCAATCAGTGATTTATTCATTGACCAATCAGCAACACATTTGACATACAGACCATCCCACAACAAGCAACTATTTGAGAACTACATACTTAAATAACAAAACCTTGTGAATAAAGCTCATGTGTCAAAAAATAAAAAATCTGCACTAGATGTGCTTATAATATATATTATGTTAGAAATGATACTTTGGCCTTTCCTTGGTTTCAACTATAAGAGAATCTATAAGCAACACTGCTTACTAATGAAAAAAAAAGTGTTACTCTGATCTTAGAGGGGGAAGTAAATCTCATTTAATTAATACAAATACTGCAAAGTAAATTCTCTAGTGAAACTTATTGCTAGAATCCTAGTTACTGAGCTAATACTTTTCAACTTCCATTCATAACTTAGAAATACAACTTAGACTTTTGTGATCTTAGTGCTGCTGCTGCCAAAGGTTAGCAAATTTCTAATTCATATACTCATGATCCAACTTACAATAGCTTGAGTTTGGACTCTGACTTAAAATGGTGTAGACATGTTATGTAGTCACTACTAACCATATCTCTAATGAAACTCTGGTATTTTCCTGATACAGTGTTGTATATTATTCCAGACTCTTGCAATGTACAACAGTAGTTACTAGGCTGCAGCCACAGGTCAGCCATGTGACCATAGGGGTAAACAGTCACTACATTGTACAAGCCCTCTGCTGATAATCTGTAGTTAGTTAAAACCAAAGATGAGAAACATTGGGACATGAGGACATTTCTAAAGGGTGTTGTTCATGTCACAGACTCATACCAGAACAGAAAAGGAGCAGGAATGGATCTCAGTGGGGTTTTTTTTGTTGTTGTTGTTGTTTGTGTTTTTGGTTTTTGTTTGTTTGTTTGTTTGTTTTTGTTTTTTCAGAGCTGAGGACCGAAACCAGGGCCTTGCGCTTGCTAGGCAAGTGCTCTACCACTGAGCTAAAGCCCCAACCCCTGATCTCAGTGTTTTATCACTTGCCTACCATGTACAAGGCCTTGAGCTTGAACTTTAACACTTTGTTATAAAAAGTAGTTATAGATCATCTGAAAGGTTAATACAAACACTTGAAATAAACTGTCAACTCTTTTGGGGGAAAGTAATCATTTGGTAGACGCCTGCTTTCAACAAGGCCCTTTGGCTATGTTTAAGTATTTCTTTTGTTTTAAATCCGTCCATTCAAATATCATTTTTTTTTTTTTTTTTTTTTTTTGGTTTTTCGAGACAGGGTTTCTCTGTGTAGCTTTGCGCCTTTCCTGGAACTCGCTTTGGAGACCAGGCTGGCCTCGAACTCACAGAGATCCGCCTGGCTCTGCCTCCCGAGTGCTGGGATTAAAGGCGTGCGCCACCACCGCCCGGCTCAAATATCATTATTTTTATTCCCGTCTGGTATACTAGATTTTAGGGAAAATTATTCACTCAACAAATACTTGATAGAAACCTATTAGTAATGTTCTAGTGGGTAGAAATACAGACATTAAAAAATGATTAAAGGATTATCTGCTATGATGGAGAGTAAGAGAGTGAGAAAGAAGAGGCGGGATTGCAAAAATGTCCTCAGAAGGCAGAATAGGAACAGAGTTTGAAAAACTCAGAACTGTCCAGCCATGAGAACAGAACACAGTTTTTGAACTAGAAGGAATAGCTTGTGGCAGAGACCCTGGGTTGACAGGTACTCTGCATATTGGGAGCAAGAAGGGGAGATCAGCATAATTAGGCAAACTGAAGAGCAAGGGAGTCATCTCTGAGGGCTAGTGGAAGTGAGCCTCTTGCCATTCAAGGGTCTACAGTTACAAAGGAGTCTGATCTTATTCTTCGGGCAGTGGCTATCTACTGAGGCGCATTTTAATGAAGCCTGGGATAGGAAATCTCTCTGTAACCACTGTAGGCTATCAACTACAATTAATGATAGTATGAAGAATATTATCCCTATGGGATTCTTTGGTAAATAATTTGGAGTCCTACCTGTACTTAAATGAAATCTGAAGACCTGAGATATGTGTTTATGTTTTTTTTTTTTTTTCTTGGAGACTGAAGATTCTGGATCCTGTCTACATAAGATACACAAGATAAAGTCCACATGCATATTAATTAGCTACTATAGCTTCTTATCAAAAGAGAGCTTCTTGCAATACCAATACCACTGAATTGCCTGTGTTTGTCCCAGTAAAAGAATACCCACAGTTGCATGTAAACCCATGCAGGGAGAAGCATGAAAGCAAGTCTGCCCCATGGAGAATCTGGAAGAACAGGTGAAAGACATTAAACAGAGCAGTGTAATCTGAGGATAGCACAGCAATGGCCGAAATATACTACTGCCCCAATATGTTGAAACTACAGTCAAGTGCTCCTTTGGTAACCTCTGATGGGTTCCCATAGCACCCTAGTGGAGTGTCTTAAGTGCCCAGTCCAAAAGGTGGAAATAGCACTGAAGACAGTTCCAAGCAGTTGAAAACCTCTCCCTACTACATCTTAGATAGCAAGCAGTAGACACTGCTCTTGATAATATGGGGAAGAGGAATGTAAGCCTGAGGGAGGCAAAGGGAAAATTCTATCTTCTGCTACTTGGGTTAAGGACAATTTGCATCAGGGAGTTACCTTGTGGGCAAAAGGAGATGTGAGCTGGGGGTGGGGGGGGTAGTTGATTAATTTGTGTTCTTTGGGACTTCTCCTAAAGAAGGTTTCATATGAGAGTACAATGAGAAGACTTTGAAAGGTTGTGAGAGCATAGAGATGTGATCAGAGCTATAACTTAAAAATATGCAGCGTAAGGGAAAGTGGAGGGGGAATGGAAGGTGGATATGATCAAGATATATTGCATACATTTGCGAAATTTTCAGAGAATAATTTTTTTAAAAATATTTTAAAGAATTTAGTAATGTGAAGGCATATCTTTCGAAAGGTGTATGTATGCAAATAACTGAAAGTGAAAAATACTCCAATATCAGCATCAAGGGATGACATTTAGCATCCAGGTCTTTATCCTTAATAAAACACACAACTCTGTTTCCATATGCCAGTCAAATATGATTGAATTATGCAAAATAATATACAAAAGGCATACGGACACAGCTGCCTAAATGTCTTGGAGTTCAATGACAAAGTAAAAATTAATGACATCATTATGGGTTTTAAAGAGGTAAGAGTGGGCCGTAAGTTTGAATGAAAATTTCCCTATGCTATAAGCCATCTTGCTCACACTCTTAGAAAATCTGTTTTCTAAGCTCCTAGGGTTCAAAGTGGCTCCTTTAGGAGGACTATATACTTCGACAGTTTAATTTTTTACGTCCTTGGCTTTCCCTTTTTTGTTTCATCCAAACAATTTCAAATCAAGTTCCTCCCATTCATCATCTTCACTTTCGCCTTACATTCCTAAGCCCTTAGGGTTCCTCTAAGACCCACCATGAGCATGCTCCTAAATTCTATCCTCACTCCCCCCCACACCCCGCCCCGACCTATCCCCACCCACAGGCAGATAATTCCTTAGGAGACCAACTGTGTTTAAAACCGAAAAGGGGCTTCCCAGCATATTATCTTGAAAGAGATAAGAAAATCAAATGTGCTCCATTAGAGCCTAATTTATTTTGTGTCTCTTGCCATTTGTGTCTCCTCCACCTCAACCTACCGCCTTCTCTCTGTATCTGACCTTTGGACTCTTGCTGAAGCAGATTATCTGTCTTTGCTCCCATAAAGAGTGTCTGAACTCCTCCAACCTTGCGTTTGTCCATGCTGTTTCTACCTCGGTAAACATTGTTATTTTGTCAGGAATGGAAGCACCAGCTGCAATGCCAAAGCTACAATGTAACTTTGAGAAGACAGAGTGGCAGTGCCTTCTCAAGTCTCCCCAGGGATAACTCACTTCTCTCAAGGATCAGCACACAATCACAATGATCTCACCTGATCTACTTGACGTGGGTACCCCTTCCCTTTACTCCCTTCTTCATAATAAGCCTCCTATTTTACCATACTCTGTGTTATAGCGATCCATAAGCTAATATACTTTCAGGACTTTATTCTAAAGGTCAAAAATGTTGCATATGCGTTTCTACAATCTATAAGGATCAACGGTGGAGTGGATGTTCAGTAAACATCATTAGAACTAAGGAATGTGACTGGTGTTTTTCAAAGTATGTTGAACAACCCCAGTCTAGAAGCTTGAAGATCTAAATGTTTCAAAATCTTGGGAAGGTACACATGCTTTGGTAGATGGTCCTTCACCCATGAATACAGGTAGCACTAAATAGACTTTGTGGGTTTTAAAAGAGAGAGAGAACATGAATTTGGGAGTAAAGTGCTTGGGATATAGATGAGAAATTTGAAGCAAGATGTGTATTTATGGGGTTAATTTGATCAAAGTGCATTATACTCATATATGAAATTCTCAAACAACAAAAGTATTTACAAAGAAAAGTGTTCTTTTTTCATCTAAAAAAGATTAATTTTTTAATCTAAAACTTTCAGGGCTGATATGATGTCACAAATTGAAAATTCCACATGATGGAATTGTGTGTTAAATGTAAAACTACTGCAAATATTTTATAAAGCTACCTTAAAATGATGTGCTTATATACATGATGTGATGTGAATTTATGTTCACATGTGTGTCTAAACACAAGATATTCCATTATGTATATATACATCTTTCCAGATCTGAAAAATAAAAAATTTAAAATACTTGTGATCCCAAGCATTCCAGAAAAGTGACACTCTGATAGCACTGTTCAAGCCCAGCTCCTAATCATCTCTCCCTTACCCACTCTATCATTATTAAGCAACAATTTTTCTAAATTATTAGTCTCTGCATTAGATAAGGTGTTTCCCATCAGCTGTAGAAAGCATACAGTTTTTCATTCTGCATTTCATTCAAGGACATCAGCTGAAGAAAGCTTTAGCTAAGCATTGCCATCCTACAGTTCGTGTTATCTAGACTATTTTGTCTTTATATTTTCAGGGTCTCTGCCTGTGTATAGTTGCTTGTATGTCAGCTTGTATTGAGTCTGCTTATGGTTGCAAATGGTATTTTGTAAAAGTGAGATGAGCCATATAGGTGAGTAAGGCTGAATCATACAAAGCCCAGGCTCTGACTACTGAGACGCAAGGAGATATAGACATCCAACCACAACCACAAGGGTACTTCATCTGAATAGAGGAGAAAGAAGCTTTTCATACTTCACACAAATGCAAGTGAGGATTCATCTAGTTGGTGAACTTTATTTTACTACATTGAAAACTCTTGCACTATTAAAACCTTTGGCATGCTTCCTTAGGTCCAATTTTGTTGATAGGAATGCAATTGTTATCTAAGTGTATCCCCACAAGAACATTGGGAATACTTCCATGAATTTAACATGTATACTCTCTCAGGAAATAACAGAAAGCAGCATTTGGTTATCAGGTCAATTTCTGTTCCAATGTAAGACTTTCTCCTTTTGTCTATTTTTTATTGTTCTGTTACATGAGTTAAAACTATTAAGTTGTGCCACTTACTCCATTTCCCAAGGGTCTTTAATCATAAATTAAAAGGTGGGTGTTTTCACTTTTTTTTCATTGATGGAGTTCAGGATATTAGATAATTATGGTTATGTCTGTTGTTATTGGTAATGTTAGTACAGTCAATAAGTATTTTCTATTGGTGGATCATGATGTTTATGTAGTCATCACTTTTCATCCACAAATCAGGATGATAATTTATTTTCATGCATATACAGGAAAGAAACTCACAATAGGAACTTGACTAGTTGTGACTTATGATCATACTCATAATTAGAACACCTCTCAAACCTCATCAGAATGTCTCTTCTTTCGGTAGATGCCAATAAACAACACACAGAGAATAAGAGATTGAAGAGTCCTCAACCCTAAATAGAACATCAGCATAGGGATCACCTGAGACAAAGAGGAGGAAAGAGTGTAAGATGCAGAAGCAGCAAATAGTTACAAGGAAACCCTGGTCTCCAGACACAACATGGCCTGTGTACATATGAAATCACAATGATAATGACAGTACAAACAAGACCTCCACAAGATCTGGCTAGACAAAAATCCCAGCAATGTAACACGAATCTTAAAAGGTCTCATTAATAAAAATAAACTCGGAGCCAGGTATTGGGATGAATGCTGAAAGATCAGAGAGACAGAATAAGCCACAGTTAACATCACCTCAACAACTTCTCAGCTGATCTTGTTTCCTCAGACTGAAAGCCTCTGAGTCCTCATCTGAAAGGATCTCAGCTGAACTGCTGCTAAAAGCTCAAAGCTTAAAAAGGCTCTAGTTCCTGATCCTCACACCTTGTATACCTTTCTGCTTTCTGCCATCACTTCCTGGGATTAAAGGTGTGTGACACCATGCCTGGCTGTTTCCAGTGTGGCTTTGAACTCACAGATATCTGTATGGATCTCTGCCTCCTGAATGCTAGGATTAAAGGCGTGTGTTACCACTGCCTAAACTTATGTTTAATATAGTGGCTGCTCTGTTCTCTGACCCCCAGATAAGTTTATTGGGGTGCAGAGTATATCAACCACACAGCAAGGTGTTGAAAAGGACATGAAGTCCCACCCCTAGGTAAGGAGTTATTGATAATTCTAGCTGTTGGGAGAGAGAGAGTCAATTTTCTTTAAAGGTATGACTCTGATAGGTTAACCATGATCCAGGACAGGTTCACACTCAAGATTATTTGGTCAACCCAAATTCAGCTCCATTTTTTAAAAAACAGAGAACAAGAAATTGGTTGGGCAGGGAGGTAGAGTTTAATCTGGGAAGAGTTGAGAAAAGGAACAAATGTGATGAAAATAAATTCTCAAATAACTAACCAAAATATTATTAAAAAGGAAAAAAATTCAGCTATCTATTGATAAGTTCTCTTTGGCAATAGGCCAATTTCTCTCCTTCAAATGTTGCCTTCCAAACTACATTCTATTTTCCTAATAAGTTCATTCAAATATTTATGAAATATTTCTTCCCAGTGTTCATAAAACTTCTAGGGATGTGCAAGGTGAAAGACATCTTTGAAATTATGAGTGCTATTAGGAAAAGAGTCAATAAATCCACATAAAGAAATGAGAAAGGACGTCTCAGACTGTGACACAAAACAAGTATGAAGGGCTAAGGCAAGGACTAAGGTACACTACAGAAACTTGTTGTCTCATTTAGGGTTACTATTGTGATAAAACTCTGCAACAAAAAGTAAATGGGGAGGAAAGGGTTTATTTGGCTTATGCTTCCACACTACTGTTTATCACTAAAGGAAGTCAGGACAGGAACTCAAACAGGCCCACCTGGAGGCAAGAACAAAAGCACAGGTCATGGAGGCGTGATCCTTCTGGTTTGCTCCTCAAGGCTTACTAAGCTTGCTTTCTTATAGCATCCAGGACCACCAGCCCAGGGACAGCACCATCAACAGTGGGCTGGGCCCTCCTAAATTAATCACTAACTAAGAAAACGCCCTACACGATTACCTACAGCACAATTTTATGAGGCATTTTCTCTGTGGCTCCCTCCTTTCAGATGACTTTAACTAGTGTCAAGTTGACATAAAACAGACACCACACTACTTTAAGTCAGTGTTTTGGTTGGTTTTCTGTCATCTGGAAACAGGTAGCCTCAATTGAGAAAATGACTCTGTTAGATTGGCCTGTAAGCAAGTTGATTGGAGCATTATCGTGATTAGCAATTGATATTGGAGGACCCAGAACACTATGGACCATGTTACCCCTGTGCAGGCGGGCCTGCTGAGGTTGCACATAAAAGCAAACAGAGTGAACCATGGGGAAAAAAAAATCCAGTAAGTGATGCCTCTCCATAGTGTCTGCTTCAGTTCCTTCCTCCAGTTTCTTACCCTGCTTGGATTTCTGTCTTGGCTTCCCTCAATGATCAAGTGATCAAGACCTGAAAGGCAAATAAACCTTTTCCTCATCAAGATGCTTTGGGTGGTGGTGCATATCATAGCATTATGCAAATGTAACTTATACAGTCAGCAGAGGAGGACATATGTAAAAGGGTGGCAGGAGATGAGATTGAAACACAGGCTGAAGCTTTATCTTAAAGTTTTGAGACCAAAGAGTCAGGAGTAGAAGTTCTTTTCTAATGAGAATCTGCTAAAGGCTCCATCTAGCTTGTACTTTTGGAAAATAGCTGGGGCTTCTTAGATGAAGACGAACTCTGGAAGGAGAAAATTAGATCAGAATTACAAAAGTAGCAAACAGAATTACGAGGCGGCTCAAGGGGAAGGGAGAGTATTGGGGTGAGAGGAAATGGTTAACCAGGACCAAACCAAAAGGACACATTGGCAAGATGTGGTGAATGGAAAGATGCAAAGGTTAGAAGAGGGACATCCAAGACCACACCGAGATTTTACACGCGACACACCAACAGAAGCTGAAGCCATTCAGTGAGATGGACACTAAAAAAGAACAGGGTTTTAAGAGTGGTCAAGCAGGAAGCATCGTGCGTTAAGCAAGTCATTGTTTCTGTGTCATTTGATAGTTCCTACCTTCCTTTGGGTCCACAACATCTCAGTCTAGAAATGACTGTAAATGTTGCAGATTGATAGACCCATAGAGTTATACAAATATGAAAGGCTTTGCCCACATGTCTGTGTTCACCTAACATGTCATACAAAATATCCTTCATGTTTTCTAGTACTTCTACATGTAATCGGAAACACAAAATTGATTTGATCATCAAACTAGTCCTTAGGTTCAGCAGAAAACAAAAGGACAATGTATGCCCTATGATGTCTGAAGGCAATGTTTAACCGGGTGAAACAAGTTTGTCATTTGTAATGAATACACACCCACAATGAGAGAACGGTGAGGTTGAGAACAGACATTAGTGACTTCTCTGGGATATTTCCTTTGTGGTTTTACTTGTCTCTAACTTTCATTCAGGATTATTCTCAAAATGTAAACTTGAAAATGCTGCCTTTGGTTGTTCTGCAGCCTGATCCTGAAGTGCCAAATAGAACATCCTCTACTTCATTTCTTTAGCACCTAAAATTACTTCAATTCTGAGTTCTATTTCTATGCCCTGCTGCATATGAGCATTGTGGGCTATTCAAGGGAAAAGGGAGTATCTTCTGTATGCTCAGACCACATTAGTCTGAATGTAATGCTCAGGGAAAGCCTTTGACTCAGTTTTGCTGATTGAAAAAGGAGAGATCAGTGTTTGAAAATTCAGAAAGATTCTAAAACAGTATAACTATTTGGGGACTTTTGCCATATACCTGTGAAATCATACATGGCTATCTCTAGAAAGAATAAGACAGAAAATCTAAGCTAACTTCATTCTGCATTTGAAATTCTGGTTTGGGTTTAGTTTGAGTTGGTAGTGTACTCTGGGGTGTTTCATGTGGTGGTGGCTCGATCCTCCCTTTGATAGAAGCATATGAAAGGATGGTGGCACCGAGAGTGTGTATGTGTGTGTGTGTTGGGGGGCTCCTCCCTGGATGCAGGGCTCACTCTTACATCTCTGCTTTCACTGCTGGTCCCCATCCTAGCGTCATCTGCTGTAATGGCCTCACCAGAGATACAAACACTGGGACTATCCAATACTGGACTTTGGGTCTCTAAACTTTTAAGCTGAATAAACCTCACTCCTAGCTCAGGTATGTTGCCATAGTACCAGAAACCAGACTAATACAGGCAGTAAGCTACGACTTGAGGAAATCAAAACAAAGGAACAAAATGGATTAATCATAGCTGAAACACGGTGTGCATATGTCCATCCAAAGTCCATGAGCTATAATTCTGGTCTCCAGTGTGGTAGTGTTGTAGAAGCATTAATAGGTGACTTTGTAGAGGTAGGGCAAAATGGCAGCCCTCTCTGAAGGGACTTCATGTATTCATTACCTTCTCCTTGATTGTGACAAAATATCCAAGAGAAGCAATTTAAGGTGTAACTATTCCGGATCACACTTTTTGGGACTATCAGTCCATCATGTGGGTGAAGACATGGTGGTGGGAACTTATGACATGGTTTGTTTTGTCTCAACAGACAGGAAGCAGAGAGCTCATACAAGACACAAGGTAAGTTGTAACACCCAAGGCCAGCCCTGATAATGATCCTCTTCCTCTCCCTATACTCTCTCCCTTAGGTTTCCTAGCATCCCAAAAAAGGACCACAGCTAAAAAAGAAAAAAATGTCAGAGCACATGAGCTTACAGAGAACATTTCATATTTAAATACTGGTAGCTCATTTAGTTCCCAAAGGTATGAATTGCTTCAAAAATATCAAACCTTGCTTCTGAAGCCCATTTTCTTCCTTTCCTTCCATGAGACTCCTCTTTCCTCCTCACATGTGCTTACACCAACATGAGAGGTTATCAATATTGACAGAAAACCTCCATGAGAAGCCTCTCAAATGGCCTACCTGATCTTAAGCTTTCTTCTTCACAAACTATCAACACAACATGCCTATTTTTATCATAAATACTTTAGCCTCAGATATTTTGTTATAGCAACAGACAATGGACACAGACCCAGAACAAATATCTCTAACTACAAGTGACAAGCTTGATTTTTTTTAAACTGTCTTGTTCTTTGGAAATCCTATTTTTTTGTTTTGTTTTGTTTTGTTTTGTTTTTCTCTGTGTAGCTTTGCGCCTTTTCCTGGAACTCACTTGGTAGCCCAGGCTGGCCTCGAACTCACAGAGATCCGCCTGCCTCTGCCTCCCGAGTACTGGGATTAAAGGCGTGTGCCACCACCACCCGGCCTGGAAATCCTATTTTTATTTAATTATATTTAGCTACTTGTACTGAACTATATCAAGCAATTCCATGATTTATTTTTCTTAGAAACAGTGTTAATATACATAATAAAAAGGTAAAAAATAATGTAAAGTACATTTAAAGAAAACTTTTCATGAACTAAATAGAGGACAATATTTACTTGACTTGAACTTTGGGTGATAATTATCTAAAAGCATTCATTAAAATTAATATATAGTATTTATATTAATTTTATAATTTGTAAGGGCCTAACACTAATATGTGTTTTAAGATTGCCTGCTCTACTGAGAAGAGATGAATTTGACCAGTTAACATATATTTATGCCCACTTGTCTGATGTAATCTTCCTCTTCCTCTTCTCTATTAAGGATGCTACATTGAGGTGAATTTGTGAGAGTTAACTCTTAAGGATTTTAATCACTCTTGAATAAATGACCAAATACACTTTTGTGGGCATTTCCAAGAGATTCCTAGAACACTTGGATCCCACCAAAATGTAGATCCCGTTATAGATTAAATATTGAGTTTTTCTCTTTATAAACCCTTTTGGATGAATACCAAAAAAAAAAAAAAAAGGAGGAATTTAGCATGGAAGAAATTAGTCAAAGTGTGAATATCTGCATTTCAAGATAGTAAAAAATTATTTTCTTCAGCCACTGTTGAAAGCACAAAGGTCTCACCTCTATTTTGTATCTAGTCCCATAAACAATTTGTTGAGATCATTGCATTCTGATTTTCATACTTTTGAGTCAATCTGTTATAAGTCAGTCCTATAGAATTCTAGCTGTGCTTAGAGGTCAGAATCAAACTGGTTGAATACTTAAGTAATTCAAGTAGATAACCAAACAGATGATATACTTTTTGATACCTGCAATCAAAATTCCTTATTTTTAGTTAAATTGTTAGTCAAGGGAGGAAATATCACCACAAATATTAGGTGATCTGCTTCATATAACTGAATAATGAAATTTATGTCTTCTGAGACCCCAAACTACAGCCTTTCATTTATTACAAATGAGGTAGTTCAAACTTCATTGACAAATTTTGATTAAACCTAAATACACTCAGATTATTCTGTAAACAAAAAATTTTAGGACTGACTTTTAGGGAGTTCTCCCAATTTTCCTTATAAAGATTGATAAATTAGCTTCTGTGCATGTGAATCTGAAAATTCTTTTACTCACAGCAGGAGGTCCCAAATGCATTATTTTTCTTTGTATACATCCCTTTCACAAATGACTGCACAAGCTTATTAACACAGGACCAAATTACTCAGTGTCAAAGCCATAAAGGGGGATTCAGGATGAAGCAAAAAGTGTCTGATACCCCCATATGCAAAGTCACAGGACAAGCATGGAGCAGGAATCTCCATATTCTCAGTTGTATTGTTCTAACAGTAATAATGTTTATCGATTTTTAGATAAACAATTGCAGGTTAAGCTAGAGCATGTATGTGTCTTCTCTAAAGTCAAAGGCTGAGAATGGAGAAAAAGTAGGATGTTAACACGTTGTTCTAATATTACAACTCCTGCTTATAATCTTACAGCGAGCACACTGCCTTTTAGTTGGATTAATTACCAGTAGCCAGAATCTTAATTGGAAAACCAGCAATGCTATTTTAAACTGTATTATTTTGGGAGGAACCAAGAGAGTTTGCTTAGCATTACTTGCTTTGATGATATCTGTTTACAGCAATTATTTTAATGTCTTTAAAATACCCACTTTGCTTACACGAGTTGCTAATTTTATAGCTACCCACGTGCATGGTTCCTGTCAATCTCACTATATCACCAGCAGTTAAAAGAGGTGATGCGCAGGTAAGGAGAAACATGGCACCAACAGGGATCACCATAACACACCCTATCAGAATTTTAACATTTTGCTCAAGATAGCATACCTTGTAAAATAGGAATCATAAAATGGTTTATTTAAAAGCTATAAAAACACACTAACCATTATTTTCATGTTACTACCTCTAAAGTCTGTTTGCTGAAAAGATCAGTGATGGTCCACAGGGCCATAGAAAAAATAAGGGAATTTCCTCGTTTTCACCAGCTTTAAAAACAGCATGAGATTAAGTCAAGTCTTTTTTCTTTACGTGGTTCAGTTTTTAATTACCTTGGCTATTAGAAAATAAGCAAATAAAAAAAAAAAACTAAACCTACCTTATATTCTAGTCAGCCATACATCAACAGAAATACTCTGTGTGTGCGAAAAGATAAATATGGCTTGTTTGACATTTGGAACGTCCTTACAGAGGCATTGATTTGTAATTCAGATCACATAGCAGTTTTGATTTCTCCCTCATGTCCATGCCCTTTCTCGATCCCTTCCCCCAAAATAAAACACAAAGGCTTTATCTGCAATGGATGGAGGGCAACCCAGGAATCTGTGCAGACTATCCATCACGTTTCTGTCTTAATTGAATGACACCAGAATGAGATCGATAAAATGTAACAAGAGACAGCTTTGCATTTCCACACTCACTTATTCCCCCTCTCCATTACTCTCAGCCACCACCGTGACCAGAAAGCCCACGTGAAGAACATGAACCCTGCTGCCAGACAAGCTGTTATGATATGAAGAAACTTGTCAAGAAAACAAAACAAAACAAAAGTTACAAGTATTAGAGAGTAGCTGTGGGGACAAATGATTATTAATGAGTATAAAATAATCTTCCTTAAGAAGCAATTTTATAAATGCATTCTCATGCCTAAATACCATCCTCCAATGAAATGTTTCAACTAAGAAATCCCAGCAGCTCTCCCTATGCTTCCAATATTTCTTGAGACTGCAGCAGAGACTGGTTCTGACGTAGCTGTGGTGACACTTCTGTCCAAACCCGAGAGTGTTGCAATAAATGCTATAACACAGGGCAGCTGTGCTGTGCTTGTGTCCAAGGTTCCTGAGACTTCCAATGCATTATTGATAACCCCACCACTCTGAGAAAGCTGAGGCTGACATCGTTTTTGCTGCTCTCAACCTTCTTCTGAAGAGTGCTGGCTGGGCCGGGAATCGATCACAGGAAGACGTTTACCAAAGAACAAAATGGCTCAAGTAAAAAGCAGCATTAAGAATCCCCTACATTCACTGACTGTGTTAACCAAAATCACATGCCCTACTTTGGTGTTTATATATCTTTGACAGTTTACATTGTGGTCATGCTCCAGGCTACAGGGTGTAATAATTCAATAAACACTTTACATCTTGAGCTGGTTATAAGTTATATGTGGGAAAAATGTTTGCATTCTAAAAGAAAAATAAACTTACGGATGTAGTTTTTCAAAATACATTATTTTTCCTCATTCTGGTACATTTTCTCTGTATTACTGTGAAATTAAAGTGTATCTAGGTAATTTTCCTGTTTTCATATAGTGCTTTACATTAACATGCAGTCATTCATGGAATAATGTATACCTACAGGGATAATATGCATTATTTTATATTTCATGTTAACTAACAGTATAAACCACTGTGAATGTTAATATCTGACTTCACTTATGAATCTTGAAATTGATGTCTTCAATATGAAAATTATATATTTCATATCCTACCACAAATAGTTTACAGTGTGGTTTCTAAGGTAAAGTCTGTTGTAGAGCATGAATATATTCTGTGCTTAGAATTGGGGTTAAAAATCTTACTCTTCGTTTGCTAGGAAAACTAAGAGAAGATTGTTTTCTTAGATGAGAGATGGCTAGGTAACTTGCAACACAATCATTAGTCCATGTTACTTCTGTATTCTAGTGCAAATAAGCTTACAATTCAATTATTATTCATCAATAAAAATAGTTAATAACACAACTCAAAGGATTAAATACAGAATTTAGTCTCATCTGCAGGCACTGGCCACCTAAAGCAGATGTTAGTGGTTGCTCAACCAACTGAGACATGCATTAATAAATGTGTTTTATCTGCCTTTGACTTGCTGGGACCTGAATTGGATGTCACATAAACTTGCTCAAATTTTAAACTGATATTGTCAAAGAAGTAAAGCCCTATGTAATATGTTTTAAAATGTAGGTTTCTTTTTTTTTTTTTTTTGGTTTTTCGAGACAGGGTTTCTCTGTGTAGCTTTGCGCCTTTCCTGAAAATGTAGGTTTCTTAATAAGAGGAGTAGCATAAGTCTTTACCTACATCTTCTAAGACACAAAAATATGTACTGCTTTGCAGCATAGATAAACACTGAAATACCTCAAGATTGTCACACTATTTTACTATAGTTCGTCCTTCTTAATGCAGCCATTGCCCCCTTTTTCGTGGGTGGCAAGAGCTTACACCCTGAAAAAACACTTTTCACAGAATGTGGAACTCATTTGTGAAGTGTAAACAAAACCTAAGTTGGAAAAAGGGCATAAGTACTACCTCTGATCGGGTTTGTTTTGCTGATTGCTCCTTGTTTGAGTTGGTAGATAATCTATTTATCAGTATGAGGTGAGGCTGTTTATAGACATGAGAATGACACCAGAGTTTGGTGGCCTTGGTGTTGGAAATACCCCTCTGAATGCGTACCCACTGCCCGCTTCGGAAGGTGATACCCTAAGTATGCCATGCAGGGCAGAGCTCGTGTGGACTCCCATCAAGACCATCACTCCTGCTTGAGGGGTGGCTGATGTTGTTGCTTTTATTTCAGGTAGATAATTCTTAATTTTAAAAAAAAACGGGACTGCGACTAATTAGGGGTGCTGGCAGAATGTGGGATGATGACGAAACTGCTTATCATTATAAAAGCCTTCAGGGGCCAAGATGGTCAAATACACTGCCTGAAGCTCCTCATGCTGCCTCCTGTGCTGTCTGCATGCTTGTCAAGAACGATGACATGAGAAACAGCCCTGGACATTTTCTCACTCCTACGGGATTCAGACGCCCATCTCTGTGGTCCATAATTTTATCCGATTCCTACTTCCATTCTTCTCTTTTGCTAGGATGGTTACAAGAGCAAAGAAAAAAAAAAACTTTAGCTTCTGCTATCTTGGAATCTCTGATATGGCTGGTTGACTAGCAGAAAGATTTTTCTCCTCAAACTTTTATAATATCTTATCCCTCTTGAAATTTGGGGGTATTTTCAAATTTGTTCGTTGATCACATTCTGTATATTTAAAACAGACATACTATAAGACAAAACAAAACAAGCAAACAAGACAACCTTATATGTGCACCAATAAGAAGAGTAAGGAGTAAGCTGGATTCTACTTGGAGGAATTAATTTTCTAGGGCACAGGAACATAAGAAAGACAGAGAGGAAAATAACTTTTGTTTAGTCCTGTGGGGTAACCTATTGAGATGCCAAAACCAAACATAGTTTATGTCTTAAGTTTTGTACTCCATTTAGATGTGCTTTTATTGCAACTTGGCTACAAAAGAGCCTGAATGGCTATTCAGACAGCTGCTGAAATCAAAAGACCCCTTTCTGGAGGCACTGACTATAGATTTTTATACTTATTTTTGCTTTGCTATGGGCATTCACCAGAGACAGAAAGATTCTCATTTGCTTTCCCCCCTCCCACCCTGGAAACTGTTGAATTGTTCTGGTTTTGTACAGTTTAGAACAATTCGACAATAATAAAACATTTCAACTCTATGCAAAAGGTGAAGCTTTCCATTTGAAGGTTTTCTTTAACAGGAAAAAGAAAATAAAGCAAATGGGCTGACAGCTTTAGAAAATTCAAACAATTACGCTTGCCAAGATGTGTATTTCCTGTATTTTCACTAATTTCAGATTTGCTGTGTATGTTCCATGCTAACAATGCATGCTTTCAATTTCAAAGTTCATTTTCGTGCTGCTCCAAGCAATCTTCACCTTTTAATAGGCAATTATTTTCCTAATCGCTTTGTCAAATCTTTTCTCTGAGAGGGCTGAGAAACAGTTTCAAGTTATACATTATGGATGCACTGGAAACAAACCGAGTAGGTTGTGAACTGCAAATTGGCACTTGGTTGGTAAAAAAGTCTCTCAGCAAAAAGGAAACTCCACAAGACTACTTTTCAAAGTGTTTGAAAAACTTTCCTAACTAACAAAACTCGCAAGGGACTTGTATGAGAAGAATTCTTTTATGGAGTAAAACAGCACTGTCTGCGATAGCTGCAATAGCATATAGGCTATTGGAATACTGTCTCCAATTGGCATTAAATCTCACTTCCAAATTCTGAATGCTTCTCATCCAAAAGTCTTTTTTTTAAAGTTATTTCTCATACTTTTCTAGGGTGAAAACACATATACAAAATCAAGTTTTCTGATTAAAACTATTTGGATATATTTTATATGACATACAGTGCTTCAAAAATTTATTCTTATAAAGGGAAAACAAAGAAGGAAAGCAGAGAAGTAAGAGGCAATCGTATTCATATTTCAAGACAATCACTTTGCTCACCAGTAAATCAGAAAAAGACCACTTTCTGCTTTCTCACATCTCACAAAAGCCTTGCAGTAATCCTAACTTCCACATTATTTACACCAAGAGAAAAACAGAAATGCACATAACCACAAGGTGGAGATTTGGAACTGTCATATCTCAAAAGTGACATTTTTCATAGGATTCCACTCAAATCAGGAAAATCAGTTAATATTGGAGGAAATCAACACAACTCTAACAACGGCTTCCATTAATGTCAATATTAAAAGTTAATTTGTGACAGACTGCTTAAAAGACTTGCTTAATTATTAATAAAAGCATTTTATCTTATGGATTTCTTTAAAAGATGTATTCAATATTATCTGCCACTGACTCTGTCTAGAAGGTAAAATACAGAACATGACTGAGCTGATACGGCGAAGATCCTAATTAGTATCATGCTATAGGGAAACAATGAAGTGATTTTGTCCCCAATTACTGACAATTAGCCTAAGTACAACAGTTAATTTCATGGAAATAAAGCCACCATAAAGTGAAAGGAACAAAACCCATCACAATGAATGGCATTTGCCTGGATTCCTTAACGAGTTATTTCAATAATGAACCGTAAAAGTTAGAAGCAACTTCAACAGCTTAACACATACAAAACTCAAGAGTCTGTGTATTTGAAGTTTCTAATGTTTAAGCATCTGTGGAAATACACAACTCAATGTAGGAACATCTTAAACATATACAGTTTTTAGCCCCCTAATCCTCAAGATACTGTTGTTCCAGACTACATGTTTGCTCAACAATAACTCTAGTATACATTAAGTCGCACAGAGATAGCTTGTGAAACTTTTCTTTATCTTGACACGCATGCTACTGGATACAATGAGCTGGTGGTGATTCCAGAAGAGCCTGTGAAAAGTTCTTAGTTTCCTTGACTCTTTTCTCACACTCAGACTTTTATCTTTGATTGCTTCTTTCATTTTTCTCCTAAGGTACCACTTAGGTCTGTGCTTATTAGCATGGTGATGTCCACGCCTGCAAATGAATATCAGTTTCATACGTGCATCAATTCTATCACAAGACTTAGAGCTTCAGTGTCAAGATGTATCACAAAGTCTAACCCAGCTTTAAAATGTTTTCTGGCCCTCTGCTTAAAGCTAGAAAGGACATACTTGGCAAGGTAACTTAACCACCCAGAGACCAAATAAAGACAATTTGAGGCCAGGCCTCCTGACGCTTAACTTAGAAAATACACCCTCATAAAATATCCTGTTTCAACAGGCTCAGAAAACAGAACTTAAAGCGCAGCAGAACATCTTGAAAGATGGTTGCTTAAGGAACTGCGCGCGGACTTTAAAACTGAAGATATACAAATAAACATTTTAGATGTTTTTGGCCGCATACAGATAACACCCTCTCTGGGGAGAAGGCTGGAAACTGCTGGGTTCCTTTGTGCAGACTCCTGGAATGTGCTCGCTTTTCATTTCTTTCTTTGTGTCTGGCACACTGGCCTCACAGGCAGTGTCTTAAGCCATTCAGGGTCAGGGCAAACAGAGAAGCGCATTCATGGACAGATCAAGTTTATGTGAGAATCTGCTCCTCCACTGCCCTCCATCTCCATATGAATCGTTAATAAAATCGCAACCTGAAAGCTCCTCGCCCCAACAGTGGGGAAGTCATGCAGAGAATCCTCTGGTTCAGAGGGAAAAAAACAACAAGATTTCTTTATCTTTTTCATCCTTCGCCAGCATTCGTGGGAATTCTGCCATGTAACTCCTGCACTAACCCTCACCCACTCACTCCAATACCCGAATCCTCTCCTGGCAACTTTCTAACTCGCACCTGATCATGAGGGAAAGCAGTGGGTGGGGGACGGGCGGGCACAATGACAAAAGAAACATTCTGACACCCCTGCGTATCTTCCAGAGTTCAGCTCAGCTTCTGCTGTACAATATTGCTGCAAAACCTTCAGACAGTATCCATGCTTCAATTTTCCCAGTTCGTGTCAAACAGCTGGGAAGATTTTCCCATAGTTTGACACCACACGAGCTAGAGAGGCACAGATATAATAAAAGGTCACATAGAACATGGAGAACAGAGTCCTACCCTAATTAACTTGATAGCTCCATGCAAATGCAGGACAGGATAAGGTGTGTCTTAGGCAACTTCACCTGTATCTTCTAACCTTGTTACAGCCTAGTTGGGGCACTTGTTCACTCTGCTTTTGCTCCTTGCAAACTGTTTTAATATCGAACGCTTTTCAGAGGGGTGGGCTGATGAACAAAAATATGAATTTCTGCGTACCCTTTAAGGTGGGTGAAAGAGGGTGCTGGCAATCAACTGTTGAACAAGAGAACAACAGGAAAGGACTTAACCTACAGAGCGGCACTGTTACACCCTGCAGTCTTTTTTAAATTCAGTATTTCATTTATATTTACCCTCATCCGGAATACTAAGGAGTATTTATTTCAAGAAGAAGAAGAGGAAGGACGAGGAGAAGAAGGAGGAGGAGGGAAGAGGAAGAGGAAGGAGGAGGAGGAGGAGGAGGAGGAGGAGGAGGAGGAGGAGGAGAACCAGAAGAACAAGAACAAGAACAAGAAGAAAAAAAAAGAAGAAGAAAAAGAAGATAAAGTTCTCCAGGTAGCTCCTGAAGAAAACCCACTATTTTTTAACTGAAAAAGTATTAATATACTTCT